TATTATTCTGTTTAAAATCTCGAAAGTAATATTCTGTCGGACAGTATTTTGTTGATGATAGTAGTTAATAGTAGAATGATAATGTTTCGTAAAATATTGCACTAAAATCTTATTGAGCATATGGCCGAGTCCGAGAACTGTATACTAAGTAGAATATGTGTTTTCTGCATAACATTTTCAAACTGCAGCGATGCAATTATAATAATCTAATGCTTTACATGCTTATCCTTCCAGATGTTCAGCAGCAGAAAGACGTCCTTTATCTCCTGAACAAAATCTATGGAGACATTCAGGACGGAGACCTGCTGGCTACTGCCAATTCCTTTGATCCCGTTGGAAACTTAGGCAGCTACAGTGATGGTGGTGCAGCCGTGCAAAAACTGGTGCAGGACCTTAATGACGGCAAACTCTTGGAGCAGAAACACTGGTTCTCCCTTTTCAATACAAGGCATCGTAATGAGGCACTCATGCTTTTCGACGTCCTCATCCACTGCAAAGACTGGGCATCCTTTGTCGGCAATGCAGCCTACTTCCGTCAGAAAATGAACGAAGGAGAGTTTGTTTATGCCTTGTATGTTGCCGTGATCCACTCGTCTTTGGCTGAACACGTGGTGCTCCCTCCCCTCTATGAGGTCACACCGCACCTCTTCACCAACAGTGAAGTTATCGAAGAAGCTTATCGTGCCAAACAGAAGCAGACGCCTGGCAAATTCAAGTCCTCCTTTACGGGAACCAAGAAAAAACCCTGAACAGAGAGTGGCATATTTCGGTGAAGATATCGGCTTGAATACCCATCACGTTACCTGGCATATGGAATTCCCCTTCTTGGTGGAATGATGCTTACGGCCATCATCTGGATCGCAAAGGAGAAAACTTCTTCTGGATTCATCACCAACTTACCGTCCGATTGATGCTGAACGTCTGTCCAATTATCTGGATCCAGTAGGTGAACTCCAGTGGAACAAGCCCATTGTAGATGGCTTTGCTCCCCACACCACTTACAAGTATGGAGGTCAGTTCCCTGCTCGTCCTGACAATGTTAAATTCGAAGATGTGGACGATGTTGCTCGAATTCGAGATATGGTCATCGTGGAGAGTCGAATTCGTGATGCCATTGCCCATGGCTATATAGTTGACAGTGAGGGCAAACACATTGACATCAGTAATGAGAAAGGTTTGACATTCTTGGTGATATCATCGAATCCTCACTGTACAGTCCCAACGTGCAGTACTATGGAGCTTTACATAACACTGCCCATATTGTACTAGGCCGTCAAGGGATCCTCATGGAAAGTTTGATTTACCACCTGGTGTGCTGAACACTTCGAAACTGCCACCCGTGATCCCAGCTTCTTCCGGCTTCACAAGTATATGGATAACATTTTCAAAGAACACAAGGACAACCTACCCCCATACACCAAAGCCGATTTGGAATTCTCTGGCGTGTCTGTCACAGAGCTAGCCGTTGTAGGTGAACTGGAGACCTACTTTGAAGATTTCGAATACAGTCTTATCAACGCAGTTGATGATGCTGAAGGAATCCCAGATGTGGAAATCAGCACATATGTGCCTCGTCTTAACCACAAAGAGTTCACTTTTAGGATTGATGTAGAGAATGGAGGTGCTGAGAGATTGGCTACAGTTCGTATCTTTGCCTGGCCTCATAAAGACAACAACGGAATCGAGTATACATTTGACGAAGGTCGCTGGAATGCCATCGAGTTGGATAAGTTCTGGGTATCTTGTGATATTTTCTTGTACTAAACACTCTAATACTTAATTTTTTCCGTTTATCTCATGATCTGATACATATCGATGATGACAGTGTTTATCATAATGGTGATAATGAACAATATCTCCATATAAAAATAATAGTTAAGTAATAATAATGATACAATTACTGGCATGAGTAATCATAAAAATAGAATATTCGTCTATCTAGTAAGCCGATAATGTAGTCATATAATGACGATGAAAAGGGATATTATTCTTATTTTCTCACTTTGCAGTGAAGGGTGGAAAAACTTCAATTGAACGCAAGTCCACGGAATCTTCAGTAACTGTACCGGACGTGCCAAGCATACATGACCTGTTTGCAGAAGCCGAGGCAGGCGGCGCTGGCCTTGCCAAATTCGAGAGTGCAACAGGCCTACCAAACAGGTTCCTTCTCCCCAAGGGCAACGATAGAGGCCTGGAATTCGACCTTGTGGTGGCGGTGACTGATGGTGATGCCGACTCAGCAGTGCCGAACCTTCATGAGAATACCGAGTACAATCACTACGGTTCCCATGGCGTGTACCCTGATAAGCGTCCTCATGGTTATCCTTTGGACCGCAAAGTTCCAGATGAGCGCGTGTTTGAAGATCTTCCTAACTTTAGGCACATCCAAGTTAAGGTCTTCAATCATGGTGAACACATTCATTAGTGATTCAAACTTACAACTCTTCATATGAATATGTCGATGAATGAATTGTTTCAAAATAAAGAACATATGCATACAGTGTTGTCTAGGTAAAATCCTTCATTTCCTTGAATCTGTGGTAAACATGGATTTAAAATATTAATCATGCAACATACATATTTTGAATATATACATATATATGTATATATTTAAGTATATATATACATATATATACACACATGTATATATATATATATATATATATATATATATATATATATATATATATGTATGTATGTTATATAATATATATATATATATATATATATATATATTATAAACATATACATATATATATATATATATTATATACATATATATATATGTATATATATACATATATATATATATATATATATATATATATATATATATATATATATATATATATATATATATGTATGTATGTATGTATATACACACACACGACACCTATATATGTGTGTGTGTATCTACATGCATGTATTTATGTATAGTTGTATGTAATTTAATATTAATGTGTATATATATATATATATATATATATATATATATATATATATATTCATATATATGCATATTGATTTACATTAGTACGAAACTACATACAAAAATACATGAATACATTTATACATATATATAGATATGTATATATATACATACATATATGTATATATATACATATATTATGTATGATATATACATATATATATATGTATGTGTAATATACATATATATATTTATGTATATATATATATATATATATATATATATATATATATATATATATACACATATATATGTACACAATCACATACAAACACCCACCCACCCACCTACACACACACACACACACACACACACACACACACACACACACCACACACACACACACACACACACACACACACACACCACACACACACAAACACAACACAAACACAAACACAAACACACACACACACACACACACACACACACACACACACACACTCGCAAACACCTATATGTGCATGAATATATATGTATAAAATATATACAGACATATGAATATGTACAAAATGTATATATATTAACAACCTATCATTCTTGGTATCATTTTGTCTATCTGCATGCATGACTAACACAAATATAGAAAAACAATGAAGCACAGATATATTTATGAATGCATATATATATGGACACAAACTCACACAAAGACGAACACACAGACATACACACACAGAGATACACATATATGCACATATGTTTGTTTAAATATAGATTTACACATACATACATATATATATACATACATATTTGCATATACAGATGATCTGTTGCCACGTACCTTGTGTTTATTGGGTTGCTTCTCCTCTTTTCCTCCTATACTCTTTCCTCTTCATACTTGAAGATAAAAATCGGAAAGGTTTGATAACTGCTGTCCAATTTACAAAAAATCTCGTTTGTGCATTTTAGTTTTGTCTACCATAGTATCACCTCGGTAGAGCGTCTTCCATTCATATACATACATATATAAGCTGTATATATTTAATAGGAAATAAATATGTGCAAAGTCCTTTAAAGAAAGATACTCGTACACAAAATGAAAAACAAATTGAATGTTTACTTTCTTTTTTTTCTTTTTTTTTAACAAAAAAAAATCACTTCTTTTGTACCTTCTCTATTTTCAAAAATCCATCCTACACTGGACTTGCCACTAAACTTGAGTCTTGTATGCCATCTAAATACGAAGGAAATTGGATTTTTACTTTTAACTACAAAGACTATATAATCTCTAAGAATTGTTTGATTTTCTCTAAAGAAATAGATTTTATCATTATCCTTAAAAAAATGGGTATCATTAAATTTTTAGATTTTAATTTTAAATCTTATAAACCCCGCCCCCTCCAGGAACTCCCTTGGCTGCTTATATAGACAACACTTGCATGCATTAATATAAATAGGCTCTATTAGTTTTGTTCATGTAAGAAAATTAACTAGGCTCATACGGTAACATTATATCACTGAAAATTTTCAGATAATATTTACATCTTTAACTATTTGTAACCTTTTCAAATTTAAAGATAAAATTCCCAAACCGTTAAGGTCTTCAATTACTTTGTGCGGTAATTGTAATGCTAACTATATTGGGAAGACATTCCAAAATCTTTATTATATATATTAACGAACACAGGGTTTTCATTTAGAAACTGTAGCTTCCAATTAACTAGACCAACCCTTCTATTCACACATATTTCATTAATCCTATTATCATCATGGGAGCTAAAGCTGACAAAGCGCATAACCGCATCTATCCCTTGTTTCCACCTATGAGGATCCCTCATGGCAAGCCACCAGGCAGGATCTCGGCCCATCATCTTGAGGAAAGCGAGCTAGGTGGCCATATAGCCTGAGTTGACGATCACGGATTGTGCAGATAACAGGTCCTGTGCCAGTCTCACGAGACAAGATAATGTCATGGTTTCACTACCGTATAGCAAAACTGGCATTATCAGGGCCCTGAAAACCCGTAGCTTGGTCCTTCTACACAGGTAATGACATCTCCAAATACTCTTGTCGAAAGAGTTCATGACCCCTGCTACCAGGCCAATCCATCTGCTGACTTCCTGGTCTGACAGCCCAGAGTTATGAACTACACCACCAGGGTATGTTAAGCTCTGTGTGATTTCAATGTCCTTGCCGTAAACACATACCGACTGAACAGGTTCTCCTAGCAAAGCAAGTCCCCAAAGTCCTGGACCTTGGTCCAGAAGACTTCTAGACTCAAGCGCTTCGCTTCATTACTAAATGCATCAAGAGCCACTACTAGAGTTTCCATAGACTCTGATAGACTAGCAACATCATCAGGAAAGTCAAGGCGAATACCCTTGATATTGCCCAGAGTTGCTCCATAATAACTTTGAATAGTATCTCTGCCCAGTATCCAGTCCATGCAAGTATTGAAAAGTGTTGGCGCAAGGACACAGCCTTGCCTCATTCCTAAGCTAACAGGAAAGAAGCTTGATAGGCCCCCACCACACTTTACAGCACTTTCAGTACCAGCATACAGGCTTGCTATTAGTCTAATAATCCTTATTGGAATTCCTCTCAGTCTCGGGATCTCCCAAAGTGATTCCCGATGCACCGTCTCGAACGCCTTCTTGAGGTCGATGTAGGCTGCAAGCAGCCCACACCCAAACTCACGACGGCGCTCTACAATGACTTGAAGCGCAAGGATATGGTCTATGTGTGGAATTCATGACGAACAGATTGCAACAGGAACAACAAAGGGAAGGACAAGAAAACACACGAATATGACGAAGGCTTTTTCGCTATTGCTTAGTCAGGGTATACGTGACAAGAGTTCAGTTCAGTTAGATTTGCAAAGGCATGCTTCGCCTGGGCCTTTTTTCTGGAGTGGCCCGGCCTGTATTAACTATTTCTGGTTAACTCAGATGGTTTCTTTGAACTGCATGGTTATCGCGGTGGCTGGATTGCGATCAAACGATCCAGCTACCACGGAGTAAGCAGGTTACAGACCCGTTTTACCAGCCCGGCGGCTGTGGTGGGTGGTCCTTGTCTTAGAAATTGTGTTCACAATTCTGCAAGTAATGTAACAGGGTGGCGTTAGACTCGCCGCAGTGTTTGCCTAACCTGGTAGTCTCACTGTCAATAATTTGCCAAGTGCATTGATAACCTAGTCTTAGTCTGAATAGTATGACTTCGGTACCTCTTTTTGTGTTTGGAGGAAGGGCCACTGGCTTATAGCCTGAAGCATCTGAGTACTACTTAGCAGCGAGCAAGTTTGTGATATTTTCTCTATGTGCTCCCTGGAGGACCACACATGCTGTGGCTTTAGTTCTTTGGCTTAATCCCCTTCAGCTAGGTTTAATGATTATGGAGGATGGGGGCATACCCCTGCCCTTTTTAAGCTAGTTTGTCAGCAAGCTCGTTCCCGTGAATGCCGATGTGGCTTGGGACCCAATTAATGATGATTCTTCTACCTTGACTGAGGATTCTTTGGGCTATGGTTAGTACTATTGTCAGGAGGTAGATGTTGTCAGGGGGCATGCTATGCTGTAAGCTGTAATAGTTGCTCTAGAATCTGTGTGAATGACATGTCTTGCCCTTAGGGATGCGTGTATCAGGGCTTCCATGATTGCAACCGTTTCAGCTTGGAGCGTTGAGGCATTGTCAGTGACCCTAATAGATGCTGTGGAACCCCTTGTTGTGAAGCCAGTGCATGCAGTATGGTTTATGGGATCCACAGATCCGTCCGTGTAGTATGTTATGCTACCTGGAGGAGTTATTTGATCAATGACCCTTTGTGCTTGTGCCTTTAGGCTAGGCATGGAATATTGATCTTTTCTCATTATAAGATTTTGAATTGAGAATTCGATCATTTCGTTTGCCCACGGCGGGGGTTCTTTGTAGTCAGGGTGAGGGGAGTCCATACCCTTGGCAAGCAATGGTTCTTTTAGCTGAAAGCGTATCAATACTCTGGCTGTATGTGTGAGCCAGATTGTCCGCAAACAACTGTAGTCTTGTAGGTCTGAGTACTCTTTGTCTTAAATAAGAGTTTCTGGGTGCCTGCAGGACCTTGGAAAGGAACTGTGCTGCCATTAGATCAATTCTAGTGTCCATGGACGGTAAATCAGCTTCCATGAGGAGGTTGATGACCTTTGTCCACCTACAATGATCCTGGCTGCTTCGTTTTGTATTGTTTCCAGTTTTTCTTTTAATGTTGTGCTGGAAGCAATGAGGGCGACAGATGCATAGTCAATAATAGGACGGACAGCATGTACACAGTACTTTGTATCCTGCTCATCTGTTTCTCCCTGTCATGACTTTCATGACTGACAGTCTTTCCTTGGTTCTGTCAAGCAGGTATTGGATCTCTTTTTGAAAGTGAGTGTGTGTCCTATCCATACACCAAGGTATAGATAGTCCTTCACCCATTCCAGATCCATACCCTGTATGGTGAGTTTTTTGTTTCTGACATTAGTTCTCAGAGCCATTGCTTTGGATTTTCTGCCGATATTTTTAAACCCGTCCTACAACACTTCAGACACCAGGTT